TTAATACTGAAAAGAAAAACATGTTGTGTTAGAAAAGAAAAAGAAAAAACCGATTAGATACGGTGAATGTACCTCAAATGCGAATTTCATTTATGTTAACGTTGTCAGTGCGGATAGCCCTCAAACGTATGAGGAAGCCCTTAGGAGTAACGATTGCGATTTATGGAAGCAAGCCATGGATAGCGAAATAGAGTCGTTAGAAAAAAATAAAACATGGGAATTGTTTGAAAAACCAAAAAACAAAAAATACTTGATCTAAAATGGGTTCTCACAAATAAATCTGATGGCAGAAAAAAAGCCAGACTTGTAGTGAGAGGCTTCCAACAGACGGAAGTACTCGAAGACATTTATTCCCCCGTGGCAAGAGTTCAAACCTTGAAGTTATTACTGTCCTTTTGTTGTCAATTTGGATTAGACATAATACAACTTGACGTAGAAACCGCCTTTTTAAATGGAGAAGTAAAATCAGAAGTATTTGTGAAACAGCCAGAAGGTTATACAGATAAAAGCGAGAAAGTGCTCAAATTAAAAAAGGCATTATATGGACTGCGAGAGAGCCCACGAGCATGGTATGAGTGTTTCGATCAATTTATCCAAAAGTTAGGCTTTAAAAGGAGCGAAAGTGATTATTGTCTGTATACATTATGTATTAAAGATGAACAAATCCATTTGATTCTATTTGTAGATGACTTGTTAATTTGCGGTAAAAACAGAAAAAACCTGAACGAAATTAAAAGTAAATTATTTAGTAGATTTGTGATGAAGGACTTAGGAGAAATTAAGACTTACTTAGGAATTAAAATTGATTATGACCGTAAAGAAGGAAAATTGACTTTAGATCAAAGCAAATATAATGAGTCATTAGCAAAAATATACAATTTAGAGAATGCGAAACTGTACAATACTCCAATGGAGCAAAATTTGAATTTGGAATCAGCGCAGTCAGCGGCCGAGAACATAAAATTTAGAAATTTGATTGGAGTATTATTATATGTAAGTACCGGTACAAGATTGGATGTGAGTTACAGCGTGAATTACTTGAGTCAGTTTCAAAATTGTTACGAGGAGACTCACTACAAATATGCCTTGAGAGTCAGTGGCGTAAATCTCACCCCCGCAACCCCCGCAATGCGGGGGGGCGCACCGAAGCCGGGGGCGCCATCCAGTCCCTTGATGAAAATTGTGAATTACGAGGAGAGCGACTTTGGTTTTGAAAAAAAATAAGAAATGATAATAGTTGTTTATATTGCACACTATTATTATAACGGCTTACTACAGTGCACGCCATAATAGTTACATAAAAAGTAATATATTTCATGACAAGGGGCGAAAATCTGTGAGTCTGATGAACTCAGCACGAGTTGAAGCGTGGGCGCCATGGCGCTCGAGTTGAGAGCGAGTAATGAAAATATCATATATCAGCCGAATAAAAACTGGCCTTAGCCCTGAATAATGGACGATAATTTTTATTCCACAGGCACAAAAAAGGTACTTGTGTGGGTCACTGAAGACAGGGAGTTAAAGGCATTCGTTTTTATCAGCTGAGACAAAAGGCTCTTATTTTTCCAAGGGAAAAAAATTGCTTTTTTTTCCAGACTTGCCAGGGCAAAATGATCCATAGGGAAAAGAAGAGTCTTTTTCTCTCGGCTGGTAAAAATGACTGCCTTCATCCCCGTCTAGAGGACCAAACAAGCACGTTTTTCGAGCCTGAGGGACAAATATTATATTTTGTTGGCGCAAAGACACTATAATCAGTGTTTACAATTTATGAACTAAAAACAACCCGTGAAAAAAAAATATATATAGATTTAATATAATTAAATATAAATTTTATTAAAATTTAATATAATACTTAATAACGATTCCAATAAATATAATTTTATTAAAACTTTTTTACTTTTTGCCAAGATGAAAATGTGAAGTATTGAGACGTGGACCAAGGGCGCCTGAAAAATTTTGCGGGGGGGCGCACATACACTCAGTTACGCCACTGTTGAGAGTTTTGAAATACCTTCTTTTAACAAAGAATCTAAAATTAACCTACGTGAGAGATCCAAATGCAGACATACTAGATTGTTTCGTTGACGCTGACTGGGCCGGCGACAAAGTAGATCGGAAATCCACAACTGGTTATGTTATAAGGTTATTTGGAAATGTTATATATTGGAAGTCGAAGAAACAGGGCAGTGTCACAAAATCTTCAACTGCTGCAGAGTATGTAGCTTTGTCAGAGTCAGTGAGCGAGGTAAAAGTTATCATAAATTTATTAATTATTAAAAGTCTTTAGAATTAACATGAATAAACCTGTAACTATTCAAGAAGATAATTCAGGAGTTATAGCTATTGCTAAATTTGGAAATCTGACAAAAAATTCAAAGTACATCGAAGTACATTACCACTTTGTAAATGAATGTTGCGAAAAGGGAATAATAACTATTGTTAAAGTCAACTCAGAAAATAATATTGCAGATATTTTAACAAAAGCTTTGGGAAGAAACAAATTTGAAATATTTAGAAACGAATTAAGATTGGTTTAAGTATAAAGTTTTCTTAGTTGACTAATGAAAAGGAAAACCTACACATATACACAAATTCAAGGAGGTGTGTTGAGATCTGTGAGTGATACGCGGTGTTTAGGTACGTGATCGCGACGCGGTGGTCACATGATTCTGACCTCAGCGTCGGGAGCAGGAATACATGTAAGAGACACGAGTAGTTCGATATATGTGCTTGCACGTTTCGGAGCTGGCGTGATCTAATAAGTTTGTCGAATATTATTTACTAATAATAAATAAAGTATAATAAAAAGTGAGAAGTATATATATATTCCTGAGAACATTATTTTCTACGATCCAATAACGCGAAATTTCATCAGAAAGTATTATCATTTTTTTAATAAATCCACATAAAAATATATACATAAACAAACACACTTACTATTAACTACTTTTTTAATACATTTGAGTACAAAACTCGATAAGAAGCATTTCCTACTGCGACTAACCTCAGTACACACAAAACATTGTTACCAATTAGTGTTTTGTTTTAAGAAAGATAACGGCCATGTTCACACTGAGTCGGACGCCTGCTTACTGAACGTGATTGGTTCGTATACTTAAAGATCCGGTCAATCACGTTCAATCGCGCGGCGAGCAAGCTAGATGATCGAGTTTGAACGTTGAGCTTGAACGCGGTCAATTTAATTTCTTATGCCTGTTTCCACCAATAGCTGCATTAGGTAATAGCAAATCTGAAGCGTCGGAGTGCTCTTATATTATAGCATATGTCACGTGCACTATAGAAAAAGAGCACTCCGACGCCTCAGATTTGCATTGCCGAACGCAGCTAATGTAGATTAACTTTAATCTCAGTTTAACTTACTGTTCATCTATTTGTAATTTTTAGAACTAGAAAAAGTTGGAGAACACAAGTTGAACCGAGATTAAAATTAGGTTTTACATAAATTGCTTCTAATAATTGATTAGAATAACAGACTAGCATCAATCACAGCAAATTAATTTGTTGTCACTATAGTATAAATTTATCCAAAATATTGGTGGCTTATTACAATAAATTAACAAAATGCTTCTTTAATGGAAGATATTTGCTTAAATAATATACTTTTAGCTGAAAAATAAAAAATGTATAAATTACGTGAAAATTACTCGAATACTTTTGTAACGATGCATCCCCCCATTGTTCCGGCACACACCACCCAGCCGAACGCCACTGCATTGCTGCGCAATGCAGTGATGAGGGCGCATAGCGCCCGATAAAACAAAAGCATAATTCGCAGGTACAAGCGGCAGTAACGGCCGCATAACGCCGAGCACCGTCGAGCGAGATCGGAATAGATCGATCGCCGCGGACTCCCACTGCTGGGACTTAGTCCCGCGCGTCGCGAAGCCCAGGCAACGGGAAAACGCGAGCGAATACGAAGACCCACGAACGCGGCATTTTCAGTTATATAAAAATGCCGCGTTACGAAGAAACGGATGATTCCTGTTCCGACCAGATCCCAATCACGAATCCGACATCCTAGAGCCGAATACGATACCAGCAAAACCGGGCCGGAGAGTTCTCCAGCTCCGCCAAGCGTTCTCGGTAGGTATCGAAAAGGCGCCTCATAGCACCGAACGGCAAGAACCGAGGGGCAGAGCGTACTCTGTCTCTGCCGAGCGTTCTCGGCAGCCGTCTCGGTGCAGCGCGCAACGACCAACGTCCGGGGCAGAGAGTACTGTTATGTCGTCCCGACCTATACTAAAATAAAATTTGAAGACAGGATTTCGGAACGGCTTATGGTAGGATAGATCTTTATTTAATGGAGTTGATCAGGATTAACCATCCTCTGACGTACTTGTGAAACGATAATCACAGTCGATTGTGAGTTAGTGTACGGCCTATCTCCCGTTTCGATTAAGTATCTACGGAAGTCGTGTAAAAGCTGATTACATGTACCACACGCGGATATGGGGTTGCTACGCGGAAATAAACTGTTGCACAAACGGCAACGGTCGGATTCGTCAAAAGCTCCTATATGAATATAGTGACGTGAAATGCTTGTATACTGACTGCGATCGTAAGGAGACTTGTCCGCGTAACATACGGCGCAAATTTCTGTTGGTATTGGTAGCTTATGGCCGTACAACAGAGAGCGGTATTGAGCCACGCCTGATAGGGAACGCTTATATTATCCCGGAGGATGTTATGATGTACCGGATTGAGTGGCGGACTCATGAGTTAAGAGAGATAGAAATGATTTACTTTAAATAAAACCGTGATTATTTGAGGTGCAATAGCGTCGTAGAGGAAAGGCTAATGTTATGTTATAGAATCGTGAATTTAAACTAAATGTATACGTTTCGTGTTTAACGAAAGAGTTCGATTATTATATTGCGCGGTCGGTCCGAGCGCGTAATGTAAATAGTTAGAGTACGTGACTCGAGCGCGGTCAGCGGTCCGTTAGACAATGCCGTTGTCTGATGAATTAGATCGAAGCGTTATGCAATTAGATTTGGTATTCTTACCGAAATAGTAGAGGCAATGCTGTCACCATGAATTTGTTCTGTTACCTGTGGTTCCTCGTTTCGTCTGAGGTTCTCTGACTGAAAGGCTTCGTGAATTCGATTCTGCGAGGTTGGTCTTTCGTCTTGCGAATGAGTGATGCCGCAGTAGTTGTTTAACATGATATTTATTATAATATAAAAAGTAATCTAATAATAACTGAATATAAATGATATTCGCGGTTTTAGATTATACGCAAAATAAAATTATACACTATGACTTAGGATTAAGAATATGAGTTAGGATATGGATTGGAATATAGAATAAAATATGAATTAGAATATGGAATAGAATTAAGAGTAAGAGTTAGAGTTACGGATATGGAATTTGAGTTTGAGTTAGTGGATGTGGAATTGGAATCTGAATGGAAGACTTCTTCCGTAAATCTTGACCTAGGTCAAGATTCTGAATTCTTTCTTCTGAGCTCTGCGCGCTCTTGTGCCCTTTTTAAGGCTTAGGTCCCTACCAGGATGTGTCCAGGAGTAGGGCGTTTAGAAGTGGGAATCATCTTGGTGGTGGAAGGGTCAAAGGTGGTGGAAAGGTTAAGATTAATATGTGGGTAATGAAGGTGTCGGTAAGGAAGGTGTCGGTAATGAGGATGTTGGTAATGAAGATATGTTGGTAAGGCATGATGGTAAGGATGGTAATAGGAAGAGTTACAATTAGTTTCTTAATGTTATACTTAACTCTAAACGCATATAACGCGTATACAAAAGGAAAAAGAAAAGAAGAAATATACGGGCCGGAGGGACGTAACAGTACTCTGCCTCCGTCGAGCGTACTCGACCGTTGGCCAGCGCCGACAGCATCTTACATTCGCACCGCGATTGACCAGCATTCGCCCGGGGTGGAGAGTTCTCCACCTCTGCCGAGCGTTCTCGGCCGCTGGTCATCGCCCGTGTCAATACGAATACGCAATCCGCGATAAGGCCCGAATAATCGCGCGTTACGGGAATTAAACTGCCGCGCCGGCAGTTCTAAAATTAGATAAACCGACAGCTGATCAGCCGCGCTAGCCGACACCGCGAGAAAAAAGGAGCATAGCGAGCCCGTCTCCTTTTTTTGTCGTAGCCCGTCATAACATCGCCGCGAGCAACACATTTCACTCGCTCTCACTCGTTCACTCGCGCTCTTATCAGCGACTCCCGCACTCGCACGCAAAATACGTGTGACACACACATCGCGCCGATTGCGCTTCGTACATCAACACACGCACACGCACGCACGCACGCACGCGTTACCGTTGATCAGTCGGTAATTATCTAGTACAGACGGTTAAAAGAAGTCTTTTTATTTTTAAAAATTACTTATTATTTAATTAGTAATTAGTCTATCAACAAATCTAAAAAAAGGTTTGTAAAAATTTGTAACAATTACTTTTTTACCTTTCACATTAGCTATCTTTAAAGATTTCTGCAATAGTTTTATTTTAAGTGTTAGTTTTTAATTTTTATTTTTACACAGTATTTGACTGTTTATCTGTGAATGTTTTAGGGAACGTTTATACTGGCTGTAATCATATACCGTATGTCATAATCTGTAAGAATTGACTATTAACAATCAAGTATTCCCTTATAGTCGAATGAGAGGGGGAATATTCGACTGTGATTGATCAATTTTTACAGATTACACATTACAGTATACAGTATACAATTATGGCCAGTAGAAACACTCTCTCACGTTGTTTGTCACTTAAAAAACCGTATTACCAAAGAATCCAATATACCAGATAAATGAATCTGATATAAGTACAATACTAATAATAATAATAATAATAAATAATACTTTTTTTTGTTATAGAGATATAATATATGTATGTGATAGAAAGTTTTTTGGTATAGAGATATAATATATGTTTGTGATAGAAATCTAAAATATGTATGTGATATAAAATGGACCGTGTAACAAATATAAAAAATATCGTTTTCATTATACATATATAGTAATGTTATTAGATTTTGTAACACGAATATGTAATTTAAATAATAAATAAGACATGAATTTTATACAATCGTTATTTATTTATTAATCAAACATGTGGAGATCAGTTTACTAATTATTCTAAATTTACATAACTTAAAGTCTGCATAATGTTTGGGTATATGTACTGTCATAAGTCTTACTAAGAGACAATTAAATTATATATTTACACATATATTCATGTATACATGTATTAATAATATTGACCATTGTTTTCGTCACTATAGCTTCTGAGTAAACTTTATGTCTAAATTCTTACATATTTTGCGCTAGATTTCGTGCTAACCTATTACGAAATGTAATACCTTCTTGGGTAATTTGACCAATATTTACGTCAATTCTTTCAACATGTTCATTTAAGTTATTTTCTATATTTTCATTATTATTCTCTATATTTTCATTATTATTCTCAAACATGAAAGCTCTTCCCTCCGCCTCAAACATATCAGCTAGACAATCTGGATGATACAAACATATATTATGAAGTACGCAAGCTGCGACGATTGTTGCTGGAATCAGATCAATCCTATTCATGTCTAAATATTTTAGACGTCGAAATCTTCCAAATAATAATGTAAATGAACGTTCGATAACTTGTCTTGTTTTTGCATGTACTTTATTGAAATTAATTTATCATCCAGTCAAATGACCTCCATCAATATATGGAGGAACACACCATGTATACGTGGGATAAGCTTTATCACCAATTATAAATTTGTTGTCCTCAAAATAATTATTTGGATGTTCCAAGAATTCTTTATAAATATCAGAATTTCTAAAAATTCTTACGTCGGAAACTGAGCTTGGATAGCCTGTAAAGCAATCTGTAAATTTCATAGAACTGTCACAGATGCATTGAAGAGTAATACCATAGAAGCACTTTCGATTAATATAAACTTCTGGGTTCTTCATGGGTGCTTTAATTGGCACATATGTACCGTCGATAGCTCCTACTACTCCTTTAATATATGCCATATGATAGAATTTGTCCTCATTTTGAGCAGCTCTATTTCCAGAAGGCCAAGTTATGATACGAGGGGCCAAACTATTTATGGCTTTAATCACTCTAACAAAAGAAACAAAAACGCTACATTTTCCCATGTCAAAACGATTGCCAACTGATCTGAAATAAATAAAAGAAACATTCTTAGTGCTGCCACCCCCTAGAGGCTGTCGGCGTATTCGCTGTCTCTCTCTCTCTCTCCCCCTCCCTCTCTCTCTCTCCCTCTCTCTCGCTCCCTCCCCCCCCTCTCTCTCATTTACAATTTCATTGGTATATTAGCATCAAATAGAAATTATAAATACCTGTAGCTATCAGGAGTTGCCAATAGCCATAATACACAGAGTAGTTGTTTTCTTGGATCTATTGTTTGACGTCCACTAATTCGAACACTTTGTAGTTCAGGTCCAATGGTGTTGTACAACCATTCAAATGCTTGTATAGATATACGAAAATGACTTTGGAATTCCATAGCTGTGCTGTTTGCAATTGTACGTTCAACGAACATTTTCATTCGGTTAGGCTTATTTTTTTCTGTTCTAATTCTCCAGTGTAAGTCAAATATTTGTCTTTCAAGAAATTCGCTGCCTTCTTCATCATCAGAATCGTCATTGTTAAATATATCTGAATATATTGTAACTACACTTGTTAGTAACATTCCGATAAAAGGCTCCATCTCGATAATATCCATATTATTTTGTAGATGAAAGACAGGTTAGAATAAATATTACAAGCATGCGCAACAAAAATTGAAAGTAACTGCGCATGCGGGACGTTTTTCGCCGCACTTTCTAGCAGAGTGAAAAGTTAACGCACGGGCAATTATCAACAGCCAATCTGAACGTTATTAGGCAATTTACCCGGGCGAGTCGTCCTGCTAAACGGAACGCTTCTGGGTGAAATATTGTCGCCTGGGCGTTCATTCTGAACGCACCCCTGTGATGCAAGTTAATTTGGACAATTGGTACCGCGAGTCCCGCCATTTTTAAGCTGACCCGCTCGCACCGGCGGTCACTCCCTCCTTGCGTTCTTTGTCAAGCAACCTTACGGTTGCCCGACCCAGCCCGCAGAAGGGTTTAAAACCACAGGTCTTTAGGACCTCCAGCGAGCGATCGCCGATCAGAGCAGCGAAGTGGGCGCTTTTCGCGTTCCTACTTGCGCTCCCCCTCACGACGATCCACTCCCTGGCTCCCAGACCCGTGTTTTGTCTGTCAAGAAGCTTTATAGCTTCCTCGACAGCCAAATCCGACTCCTCCACATGCACCACCACCCGATGGCGCTTAGGTAGCTCCCCGGCCGGTAGCACATGCAGAGCAGTGCTTCCGATCTTAATCACGGTGGAGAGGCTTTTCAGCCAATCCACCATCTGCTGGTTGGCGCAGTTAAAAATAACTGCGCTATCCCTCTCCCAGGTGCCAGTGAAGGTGGGCGCTAGCCCATCCTCGGGAAGTTCGAGGATGTGCCCCCTGACCAGTCGCCTGATCTCCTCCACCTCACTGGCACCCAGTTTTTTCTCAGGATAGCCTTCTGGAACGAAGGCCATCCTGATCATGCCCTTAATCGCCTGGGCATACGACCCTTGGTCAGTGACCTTGGGTCTCTTGCCCGGACGATTCTCCGTCGGACTGGGCGTTCGGTGCACTGGTCTGGCACGCTTCTGCGTTCCCACCGTCGCACCACTCTCCCCGCCCGGCGGAGTAGGGGTATTTGTAGGAGAAGGAGAGATGGCTTTCTCAGCCCTCGCCTTCTCCTTATTGTGGCGGTGCCTTGCAGCCCCGCTGTAGCGAATGCGGGTCTTAGGTAGACCCGCACTTGCTGCTTTGTTCTCCTCCGGTTGTTCGCTTCCTAGGGAAGCCAACCCCTGGAGGACTTTGTTAAAATTTGTTTTGTTATTATTGGTCTCCATAGTGATCCCACGAGTACCGCGGTCGCGCGATCTCACCCGGGCAGAGCCGCGAATGCCCGGGACTTGGCTGCGTATTCCTGGAGTTCGCCCGGTATCCAGGAAGCACCGTTTGCGACGCAGCTCCCCCTGCGCCATGCAGCTCCAGGCACGGTAGCTCACACCCTAGCTTGGGGGGTTCCTCTTTGTTGGCCGCCCACGTGACCCCCCTGAGCGAGAGGACCCCGTTTGCGACCATAAACCCCACCACCCGCCCCGGTACGGGAGCCCGCAGCCCCCGAGAACCAGGGTTGCCAGATAGGGGATTTTTGTCCCCAAAATGGGGAATTTTTGAACTAACGAGGACGATTTGGGGAGACGAAGAATTGCGGGGATAAGTTTGGGGAAATTTTTTGTTTTGGGGATTTTTTTGGGGAGAAAATCATATGTCATGGGCCTCTTTCACCAACTTCGATTAACGCTATTCGATGCTTCAATCAATCATCACGATTGCCAACATGAGAACTAAACACATTTTCTCTCGAAAGAGGAAGAGAGAGGAGGCGTTGTGAGGCATCTCTATCTTTTTCCATTCGATGGTGTAATGGAAGAGAGAATGAGAGGGAGATGGCCGTCTTCCACGGACCCTCTCTCTTATTTTCGTTGACCATTTTGACACACGGATCGCGTAGTCCATTCTCTATGTCTTTGGTTGTGATACATTAAACTGCTTGGCACTTCTATGAGTTAATCATCGATTAATTTAAACAATAGTTGGTGAAAAACTAAAGAGGCCGTTGAAATTCACTCAGTTGAATCTGCTGAATACACCGAATGCAAGAAATCTGCTGAAAAATCAGCTAATGCAAACAGTTCAATCTGCTGAAAAATCAGCTAATGCAAACCAAAGTTTAAGTACATATGTCTAACAATAAACTAAAAAGGACTTACAGAAAAACCTGGGAATTACTTCCAGAGTTTTCTGGTAAGTATTAATTTAATTATTACTTTCAGTTATTAATATCTCGTCTCGTTATTAGCTATGTATGTGCTTTATATGTTCTTTTTAACCCTTTCTATTCAATCATGAGTATTTTGAATCTGACCGAAATGCCGCTTTTACCTAACCTAACCTAACTTATGAGTTTTAATAATTATATAATATTTATGCTGTGGTAATTCGTCGGAGATACATCACTCTAAACGAGTTCTCTTTTGTATCTAACTTTATTCCTTTTGCAATTTACTTAAATAAGATGCTATATGTTAAATTGTTACACTGTTGTTTATCAACATTGAGAATGACCCGATCGGTGTCAAAACACGTCTGTTATTTTAATATAAATACAATGGCCCGTATTCACACTTTGATCTCTGAAATTCTATAGCATACGTGACATAAAGTATAGCATGTTAGAACGCTAACATCGTTGTGCTATAATTTATTTTTGGCTCATTACTCTTTATATTGTCTTTGTTTTATATAATATTTGTTATAGGATGGCTTTCTCCCATGCCGGATGATAATTCTAAAGCATATTGCCAGCTTTGCCGATGTTCACTTCAGCCTCAGAAAAAGGATCTCCTAAAACATGGGCAAACAAAAAAACATCTTGAAGCATTTAAGTATTCTCAAGATCTAGCTTCAAAGAAAAAAATAACAGATTTTTCAATAAAAACTATATCGGATAAAAGAAAAATAGTGGAATTGAAAATTTCCGCATTTGTTGCAGAACATTGTTCTGTATATTCTGTCGACCATCTGGGAAGTTTAATAAAATCTCTTGATAACACGTCTCGAGTACTAAGCGAAATTAAACTACACAGAACCAAAAGTACTGCATTAATAAAAAACGTTATTTCTCCTTGTCTTTTACAAAACTTAATTAATGATCTTGGTAATGGATATTATTCAATGATTATTGATGAGAGCACAGCAGTGGATAACAAAAAAATTCTTTGTCTTATTATTAGATATTTTAGTGAATCGAAAAAGAAAATCATAACAACTTTCTATCAATTAATAGAAATTGAAAGTGGAAATGCTAATTCATTAATAACAGCTTTCAAAGATCAACTCTTAAATGATGGTATTAAAATAGAAAATTTAATTGGTATAGGGATTGATGGAGCTAACGTTATGACTGGTAAACATCATTCATTTTCTTCTATTTTAAAAGAGACTATTAATGAACTTGTAATAGTTAAATGTATCTGTCATTCTCTTCATTTAGCAGCTGAATATGCCTGCAAGTGCTTACCAAGAAATCTAGATTTTATTATTAAAGAAAGTTACAATTGGTTTTCTTATAGCTCTAAGCGTCAAATCGAATATGCAAAACTGTATGAAGTCTTAACAGATAAGAAACCTGTTAAAATAGATAAATTATCAGGCACACGATGGTTAGCACGATATGAGGCAATAAATAAAATAATTGATCAATGGGATGCTCTAAAACTCCACTTTTCTATAGTAAAAGACAAGGAGAGATGTTACATGGCTGACCAACTTTATTACATGTTTAATACACAATCAAATATAGTTTATCTTACTTTTTTAAAGCATATGTTAAAAAATGTTACAGAGGTTAACAAAATGTTCCAAGCAGAAAATGTTAATCCTCTTAAACTCTTGGACGATTTGCATTCTCTTTTATATCACTACATGAATATTATTTTACCTCCGGCAAGATTAGAAATAAAAAAAACAGATCTTATTAACTTTAAATTTAAAGATTATGTAATAAGAGTTGAAGCTATTGATTTTGGATATTCTTTCGAACAAGCAACTTCTGGCTTAAATAATTACGAGCTCAAAGTAATCAAAGAAAGATGTCGTGACTTCTTAATCAGTTTATGTGAACAACTGCAGTCCAGAATTCCTGACAATATCAAATTATTAGAAAAAATAAGCTTGCTCTCGCCACAATTAGCAACATCACAAATAAAGCCAAACATTACTGAACTAGTTGCAGCATTTAAAAATATATGTAAAGATATTGATACAACTGTAGATGAGTGGAATCTTCTCCATATGAAAAAGTGGAATCAATTATCTACTCCAGAGGAATTCTGGATTGAAGTTTTTGAATATCAGAATTCTGTTGGCCAAAAACAATTTGGCAATATTGCAAGATTTGTTTTAGCGATGCTATGTTTGCCTTTTTCAAATGCTTCAGTCGAGCGCCTTTTTTCTATGATGAATATAATAAAAAATAAATTAAGGAACAGAATAGCTGTAAAAACTACAAATGCAATTATGCGGATAAGATGCAACATGCCACAAGGTGGATG